AATCATAGTTCCCCGAGTTTCAGCCTAGCAGGCCTGGACACCAGCAGCAGCGGAAGCACTGCAAAGCTAACCAGGAGCGTTGGGAAAGCTGTTCTGCTCTTGCTTTAAACACTTGTTATAAATGCAACGGCAGATTAAAGATTAACAAAGATAAATTTATTATAAATTAATAAAGCAACGAACAGCGAGGAAAAACCACAATAAATGGACAGCGCAGCGCTGGGTGGACAGGGTCTATACGCAAGGTATAGGTGTTCCCAATTCCACGTCTGAGGGTTCTCTGGCCTGGGTTTTTATAGGGATTTTATGTCCCCAGGCTAGAATTCCAACCAGTTTCCATTCACCAAATGTCCCTGATTGTCTGGTGAATGGATTTCCTGGCCTAGAACATTGAGTCAGTAAGTGTCTGGGCAGAGTCTCCTCAAATGCAAAGTGAGTCTGTATGTATTTTAACATATTTCATCACAGCAGAATCGAGGGATCCGGGCTAGCGCCGATAGATATCTCGGAGGAGTAGTCTCTTCTTTGTCTTTCTTGATTGAACTTCTGTAGTATGGGTTTGGCGGGTGTGGTGTTCGATTCTGGCAATGACCATTTTCCTGGGGCTCGTCCCTTTTGTCTTGCTTGATGGTCTCCGGCCGAAATCGGCAGGGCGTTGCCTTTGTCCGGAGGTAGACTTTCAGGCTAGTTCTTTTGTTTCTATGATGGCCTGTGTCCTGTCCTTTCCTCCGAGTTGATGAGCCTGCTGAAGCTTGTTATCTGGGGGGGGTTCTTTTGCAATCCGTGACTTTGGAAAAGGAATTCTACCTCGACCTGGAGGAGAATTCCTTATTCCATATTTTCATTAGTTATAATTACACATACTTTATTTAAACCTTTTATTCCGAATTTTTATTTACCCAATTCTTTATTACACACTGAATTCCTGAGCTCAGCGTGGAGACTGAAGCCTCGGGAAGTGCCGGAGGTGCCAGCAGCGCTGCTCAATGGATGCCATTGCTCAACACAGCCCAGAGGCCCGGCCAAACTCCTCCTCCGCCTGGAAGCCCGGCAACGAGGCGCTCAACCAGTTGAACAAAAACTACAAGCTTTGCACCACGCGAGCGATTTGCCAACAGGCAGCAGCCCGCAGGCTGGGTACTGTTACCTAGTTATTAATGAATGCTGCTGATTAACCTTTCCAAAGCGCTCTGTCCACCACACCTACTGGTGGGAACCTGCAGTGATAGTGCTCAGGGGAAGATGCTGACATTGGGTTGACACTGGGGGTAGTGAAAAGGCACCCCAAGAAGTGACAGCGACTTTAAGAGTTGGATATAAACCAGGATAGTTCTTCCAGAGACATTTGGGAAGAACAGGGTGGGGAGAGTAAGCTTTTTAAAAGCTTTCGAAAAGTAATTAGAGTACAGACTTCACCATAATTTACACTACATCTCAGGCTGCTGTGCTTGATTGAGAACAAATTAAAATTTTGCTCAGAAAGTTTCTTATTATGCCCCAGAATTAAATTTGGCAGAGATCGTGACACCCTCCCCCAGGTATTCTCGCCCACGTTTCAAGCCCAAAATTCAGTGTACTGCTGAAACATAAATGATGGCATCTAAAGTACTCAAATTGATGTGACAAATTGGAAAGAATCTGGGGGACTGTATAGCTCTAGCAAAAAAAGAAAAAAAAAAAAGTACTTTTGTATCTATATTTCTTTTAATTTTTAATTTATTTTGTTGTTAGTCACATCTCCTAAGCATTTTGAAGCTTAGTTTTCTTTAGAATATACCAAATAAATAAGAAATCAAGACTTGGGGAAAGAGTCATGAAATAATATAATCTCGGGCAAGAACATCAAGAAATACAAGGTTTTGAAATATAACAAAGTTTGCACTAAGATATTGAAAGCTGACAAAAGCATGGGGAATAAGCAAATATGAAGTCTAAACCTTAATCATGAATAGCAATGAAGGAGGCAAAACAAATTCTGAAAGAAAAGTATAGAAAGTATAGAAAGGACAAATATGAAAAAGAAAAGATTGCACTAAATGCATATTAGAAGGAGGGAAAGAAGCCCAAATATATGTAAGAAAAAACCCCAGCCTGACTTTGCCACAATAAGACTGCTTATGCATATCTTTGCCAGGGGTTCTGCAGAGCAATTTTTAAAATTGTTTTTTTTTTCTCAGTTTAACATAACTGTTACTCTTTAAGCTAAGAGCATAGTTAAAAATAAACAAAAACAAACAAACAAAACAACAACAACAAAAAACCAGAGATTTCTTGCCCAGATGCTTGCTATGGCTGAGATTTCACATGACAATTGAGCCAGTTTGACAGCTTGCCTCTGTTGATTGGGGAAGCTGCCTCACCCCCCTGCTTTGTTCCCAGCCATGTGGTCTTACTCCTTCCCTTGCGTTGAAATCGGCACTTGCTGACACCCCAGTAAAAAACACTCTACTGTCTTAATTAAAAACAAAATGTTTTTTCTTCTGCAGGTATTTTTGTTTGTTTTTTAGAAACACTGAAGAGAGGTACATGAAACTGCTTTATAGTTCCATGAAATCTTCACCATTAAAATATTCCTGGAGCCATGGAGATGACAGACATTTGTGTTTTGTGCCTGTTCTGTTCATTCTAATATTACTTACTTCATTTCTCAGAACAAAAATATTAAATGCAGTTCCAATCCCCTCATGAATTAAAAAAACAAAAACAAAACTGTTGCAAAGGTGCAGGTTATAGCCCCCTGTGCAAGCTGTAACAAAAGCGGAATATGAGAACTAAAGCGCGTTTCCCTCTGACTTCCACACTCTGAACTGACACTGTACGAGTACAGATCAAGGCAGGCTATCTGGCATCAGCTACACTGAAGACTGAGAACAGAAAAAATTACAAATCAGTTGCCATATTCTGCCATCATTTGCACTCTTACAACCTGGTTGACATTCACTGTTTCAGCAGTAGAATTTGGGTTTGTGTATGCAGATTAGGAAACAAGGAAAGTCTAATATGGGGTTACTGCTATTATTTAAATAATCTGGATCTGGAGGTTTTTTCTCTTCTGTTTCAGGGAGGATAGATTTCTTTTTGAGTGATTTTTGTAACAGGATGGAAAAATCTGTGCTTGTGCTATAATCCACAGACCACAGAAGGTTGTCCGTTATTTTGCATTAGCCAAAAATTTTTCTTTGGGCAACATTATTGCCAGACACACAAAAAAACCTGAAAACCCCAAACACAAAAACAAAACACAAATTTTTTTTCTGAAAACAAAGCTAGTTTCTAATATTCAGTCCTGATTCTTACCCATAAAAGCAGTTTCATTACTATCTGTGGTACAAGCAGGACATGGCAGCATTCAGGCTATTAAAACCAGAGATTATTCAAAAGTTAACATGTGGTTTTTATTTACAGAAACAGAACAAAAGAGACTCTAATTGAAACAGATCATTTAAATAAACCCAGCACACTGCTTATGCAGATAGTGTACTTATGTAGATACACACGTGCACGCACATGCACACCCAGCCAGAGCTTCCAGTGATTTCTGGCTTCCGTACTACACACAGGGACCTAGCGGGCCCAAAACTCTCACTGCACATTCCTGGGTGTCCAGGCTCCCCAGTACAGATCTGGCAGTCATTGGGCATGAACCTCTGCTCAGCTGCCTCTCAGGGAATTTGTCTGTGTTTCGTCAAAAACAGCATATTCCTGAGAAATATCTGAGGATATTTGATGTACTGATATTTTCCTGATCATTTCCATTATTGTTCCCTTTTAAGAGACAGCGGAAATTATTTAGATTGCTTGTTAAAAGAAACAAACACAGGAAATGAAACCGGGTGAAAATAATTTCTTAATTTTGAGGGTGCATTGAGGCAGAACAATCCTTATCAAAGATAACTGAAAATGTAAACACACTGATTTCAATCAAGAGCACTTTTCATAAGAATATTTCAGTCACTAGTTGCTGCTGATCCTTTTCGAGGTGTGCTACCCATTCTGGAATACACACAAGAGTTCAAGTGTTGCATAATTACACAAAACAGGGCCTATACAAGAATATCCTGTTTTGCTTCCTGTACACTCACTAGGGTGGCTCAGCTGAATCCTTGACAACATCTAGCTCCATGAAGAAAACATCAAGACTCCTTGCTGATAGGAGGCTTTTTACCTAGAGCTTCTCAGCAGTTGGGCTGTTTAGCCCCAATGTGTAAGCAGACAATCACCCTATTGTTTACTTTCTACTCAGAAGGAGCATTACTGCTTTTCCTCACTGTCCATGGTCTCTGTAATCTTAGCAGTCATGTTCACTCAGCAGTAAGTCTAAATATGAGCTTCCCAAAGGAGTTTCAAATCCATGACATAGATTAGTATCACTGTGGTTTGATGCTATCTGTGACAAATTCCACGGTAATTAACATTTTAAACTGCGGTCAATACCAGAATTATTTGACGAGGACTCACTCTAGCCCCCAAATCGTGAGAAATTAACAAATTTAAGGGGTATTATTACGAAGTGAATAGGCTGTGGAGGACAATGTATCTTTCAAAAACCCTGTCAGCATTGCTTCATCTCATTACATATCGCTATATCTTTTAAAAAAAGGAGCGATTCAATTGTGTGGTGGTGAATCATGAAACTTCACAAACATTCAAGGAACACACATGCCACTACAAATTAACCATTAGCACTGCATGGTATTCATCCTTTCTGTCACACACTGTGGGAAGCACGCCTTATTAGCATGGAAGCATGGAGCAATAGCATCTCAGTGTACTTAACATTCGCTTACCTTGGAAAAAAGAGCACACAATTGCAGTCTTAAACAAAAACCCCAATCCTCAAAATGCTGCAGATCTATTCCTCTCCACATTTAATCCTTGGATTTAAAAATTGCAAAATTGAATCCTAAATCCTTTTCTTTCCTCTCTTCCAGTTCACTGTTTTTTACAATGAAATGTACTTTTTGCATTTTTAATCAGCTTTAATCATAAACAAGGCAGGCATCACAATTGCAGCTATTGCAGGGTTCCCCCTCACACACTTCTTTCTTGGTTTTGAATTTCAATAGTACCCTCAACTGGGGGTCTTCCTAGATCCCAGATGTCGAATTATATGGTCTGTCCTATTCTTCTCAGAGGGGCAATCCTGTTCCCTGTTAAGTTTCACAGGAATCTGAATAGCTATTCTGCAATCACCCATTTCTTCCTTAATTGTATTACAACTGAACATAAGTTTGATTATTAAGAAATAGTTCTCCTTGACTTAACAGTTTCTCAGAAATTTTTAGAAGTATCTGCTGTCTTTTCTTAATAATACGAAGCACTTTGTGCAAACCCCTAAAAAAAATAAATCGACATTTAGCATCATTGTTCCTGTTTGAGGTCCTGTGCGGTCTATAAAATCTCAAGAAAGGGGCCCACTTCCCATACCCATCCTACTTACATGCTGTTTTATTTAAGAATCAAGAGTACATTTTACAACCACTTTGCCATGTTAAAAAAGAAAGAAACATAAAAGTGACTTTCAGGGGGAGGGTAGACCTATGTTTTGTTTTACTAGCTTCTTTCAGAGTAAACTTGTAAAATAAAAAGATGTAAATGCCAAAGAATTTTGTAAACGCTAATGTAGCAGTAAGCCAGAGCCTCCCACTGACCTAGAAGCAGTACCAGTATTTCAAAGGTGCACTGCTTTAATGTATGTTTTATACATATATATATTTGAAATGTCATTTTCTCTCAGCTGTAACCCAACACTATGGAATCACACACATCTCAGAAATAACTCCTACCCACTCCTACTTCAAATAGTAACAGAGGCTAGCTGACAGATAAGGGTAACATTGTGTAAGGTATTTAAACTAGCAGAGCAGTTCAGATATGCAGCAATGCATCACGAAGGCAAGTCGTGGCCTTTTGCACCCCTCCTCATATGATTATTAATTACGTATTTCCTCATCTTATTAGTGTTTGAATGGATGTAAGAAATAAACAAAGCTGCTCTAAGGTATATTTTAGCCATACTACCTACTACAGCCTGACATCTTTCTGGGATTAATAAAAGAAGAACCAGTATTACAAGTGAACTTTGGCTTGTATGTCCTCAAGGCAATTTTGTTTTTGGACAGATTACATGGTCAACTGCTATCTGGATCTGGGAGGGATCATTTCTTTAGAGATATTGAGGACCCTGTTGAGCTACATGGCAGCAATCATAACCTCCCTTGTTCTTACAAAAGAAAAAAATAATCTTTTGAGGCTCGACCATATCAGCAACCCATTGAGTTATTGAGTAATCTCAGACTACTGCAGACTCAGGCACAGCTCTTAATATTCATTAGGCTATGATTTTCATTTCATAATTTACTTTTAAATCATAAAGATCTAAACCTCCTATATGTATAACAGTTGTATTAGCATCATATCGAGTAAATGAGGCACTGAAGGTCACCTAACACTATCTAAACTTGCCCATAAAGTTGTAGACATGTAAAGTTATCTGAAATTGTGCAAAAGTCTCAGCTCTGAACTTAGAATATGTTCACAAGGAACATATCTTTAAGCAACATTACTTCCCAAGCAGTATGCTTTATGAGCATTATCAAAGGGGTGAACCAAACTCCCATTGTTCCTGCTGTACCACTTTAGAGCAACATCTGCTGGGTAACCCAGAGCTGTAATAACAGCAACCCTGACATACTGAAGTGACAGAACAATATGAGACACGGCTATGGGAAGGCAAGGGTTAGATAAGAGGATAAGAGAAGGCTTTCACATCAAAGACTTTGCTGTGCAATGACACCTACCCTTTGCTACTGCCTGTGCCATTGATTTCATGTCCGGGTTGCCAGTTCATCTAGAAGTCTCCCCAGCTTATGAGAGTTTGTATCAGAAACAATAAAGTCAGATGGCAGTTTTGTTTGCCTTGGGGGAGAAAGTAGATCCATACGCTGTGGAAAGTGATAGAAAAACCAGAATGATTTTACTCTGTTCCACAGTCATTTATTGTTTCAGCCAGCATTTAGTTTAAGTGCACCTCATAGTGTTAGGACCTGAAATTTCATGGCCAAAAGTTCCCTCCTCTCCAAGAGGAAAAATATTTAAAAACCCTACATTCCCATTAGTAACTCAATAGCAAGAATATTTGGGTTTATGATCCTGGTGATGCAATAGTTGAGGCAGGATTTTTTTTGTTGTTGTTGTTTGGTTGGTTTTTTGTGGGTTTTTTTTTCTTCTTTTGTTGCAGCAGGAGTATCTTTAGGGCAAAAGTCTCTGGGAGAAACACTATTAAATACTTAGCCTGGACAAAACCTTCTTGCAGAGGAAATTCCGATTGCTTTTCAGCTGCACTGTGGTTTATTGTTTGCTTTAACTCAGGCCAGAGCCTAAGCTACATACTATGGTGTCTGTTAAAAAATCATTATGGTGCAATTAAAAACAATGTTTAAAGTGGAATTCCCCCCTCCCCTTTCCCTGTATAACTGTTGTATGCTTCCTCTGTGCCTTTCATGATTATCTGCTCCAGCTCTGGTCAGGAGATACAGCTGTCATGAAACACTCAACAGATGGCAGAGGCTGGGTGATGCTTCATCCATTTTTGGATGCTCTACTGACATTTGAGCTCATGCCTTCTATAAATGCTGTCATGCCCCTGACTCTTTTTAGCCAACACAAGCCTACAATGTGCAGTGACAATATTCATCTTTCCAAAGGAATAGAGATAAATTGAAATGCCCTTATGAAAAGCAATATAAAATACTTAAATTTAGTGTCCTTTAAAACTTTTAACTATTATAGATAGATATGGCTAGAAAATAGATAGACTGATAAATTGGTAGATGGATCTCCTTTCTTACTGCTGTTTCATCCTTAAGCTATTTTATTTTTATAAGGCTCTTCAGAGATTGATTCAGCTTACAAAGAGTAGAAAATTTTCTCCAGTTTTAGGAAACTGCTAGGAACTCAAGCGCTTTGAAAAGAAATTGATTAGCACAAGTTCTTTAAAAAGAAACATCTAAAAGATAGAGTATTTTTAAGCTTTTCAGGCAGTAAAGGATGCTTAGCCTTTAATCTTACTATAAGTGTTATAGCTTATTTCTAGTGCATTATTATTATATAGTTAGAGTCAAACTGAAAGATGCATCAGCTTGAGTACTGAAAGATAGCTGACTGTCTTATGGGGTTTTTTTGTGGTATGTTTGTTTTGAAACAGCTTTATAATAGTGGGAAACCACCTAATATGATTGTTTGGTATGAAGAGTCTGTGATGATCCCTGTATGTGTCCCACATAGGGCACTACCTTTCATGCTTACCAAGGTTCAATCCCAGTCACTGTGGCTCCTGATACAAAAACAAACAGAAGATAAGAGATGGAGGGAGAAGAGGTGGATAAATTCATGCACTTAATCATAGGGATTAAGAAAGACATCTTGGGAACGGCGAGTACGGGTATTTTGTCCTGACCTAGGAGTGGTGGCTACATTTTTCTCATGCTGTTTCCAGTGCAACTCATTCTAAATGCAGGATGTTCAGAGACTATCACTGCAAATGCAGATGATGTGTTTAATTGCATACATTTGATGATGCCCTTCACTATGAGGCCTATTTTTTATGTTGTTAGGAACGATGCGCTTTACAAGTTAATTTATACCCTAACAGTGATGAAAGAAAATGTACAGGCTACTTTGCTTTGACAACAGTCCTTGCTGAACAGCCAGGAGATATTTAACCAGGTACTTAAGCAAGACACACCTTCCAGTGTGATGAAAAGGAAACTAAAGTTAGGGAGTATGATCTAATTCTTCAAGCCTGAACTTATATTTAGCACTGGAAGTATCAGCAGAATGATGCCATGGCAGTGTGAGGGTACAGTGAGGCAGGACTCACTTTTTACAGCTCAGCAATAGATCGTCTCCTGTGTGAAGTGATTGAGATCTCACAGAAACTAACTCCACAACAAACACAACTCATTATTTGCTCACACTGGCCGTGTTTGGCTACCACACAACACAGCTGACTTATGGAACTGCTTAAGGTTTTCAAATTAGTCAAAGGACTTTCAGACTGCTGTCTTTTCTGTCAGATTTAAGGGCAACCACTGGTGATAGGGAAATTTCAGACGCTTTTCATACAGTATTTCTGTTACACCTCAGCTGTTAGGATGGCAAGAGAAAGGGACTCTAAGTCTATACCTGAGCCTGTAATTGATCAATAGGATCACAGCCACTTATTTTCATCATGAACTACATGGTCTGCCTCCACAAAAGTTTCATTTATTGAATGTTTGATTCCCAAATTTCACCCTAGAGACGGCAAACTACCAAGAGAGTCTAAAGCTGACATTTTAACATAGCAGTGCCTATTGTTTCAGTATTCTTGGGCTTCACAGACAATATCCTTACTAGATCAGAACAGTCAGATATGGCCAGCTAATCTGCACTAAACAATTAATATACCTTTAGACCTCAGAGACCAACAGGAATATTCAGGGTTCAGGCTTGGCATCATCACATATATAACTGTATGTCTGAGAATTAGAAATGAAAGAGATGCTAATGCTGTAAATCAGAGGGTTCATCTTCTCTCTCAGTACTTAGAAGTCCTCTGGATCCTATTTTCACTATGTACCCACACCGAGAGTGCAGACAGCAATTCTCATGAAATTCTGCCTTTAAGACAGCACAGTTCTCTGATGCCTCAGCAAGTATCAAAGAATATGTAATATATGCATTTATCATAGTTTCACATCCCACTAAATACTCTCTTATTTAAATGCTATTTATCTCATCTTGACGAAAATCATGTTCTCTAGCTGTAGCTGTATAATTTGCTATTTTCCTGAATTTTACCATTGCATTCATTAACTTCTATATGAAGAGAGTAAAGTAAGAAAGTGTGGTTCTTTGCAGCACTGGCTATTGCATTTAGGGGATCTTTTTTACCAGTTTCAGACACTTTGTCTTAAATCAAGAAAAAAGCATAGAGAAGTAACTAGAGCAGGATTTGAAACTCTGGTAACTTCTAAACTTAAGCCATGGAGAAGTCTGCATTGCATCTGTGTAAGTCTGGATAGTATCACTATTTCCTGAAACATTTCCCACCCCATAGGTTTATCTCACACAATTTCATGGAGTTGTATTAATGAGTGGAACATTACTAATGGTTATAGTTTCATCCTAAAACCTCAAGAACCACCTGTTGCAACCTTCATACAAATAACAGCACAACACTGAAATTTCTCATATAAATTCTAGCTATAAGTCAGCTCACAAGACATTAATTTTCCTTGTAAAAAAGGGTAAGAGCAATCCCTTTCTTTCATATGTGCATGACTTTGCCTTATTTCAGCATCATTAACTTGGGCAGTGGGCATTTCATGTCTTGCTTAGCTCTTGGAATAGATGAGGTTTTAGGAGTTTGAGCTGAGAGCTGTATGGTAATGGTTACTTCTTTTGTTATATTATTTTTGACTATATAACAATATAAAATGATAAAAGATTGAGAGCAGAAACACTGGAAAAAGCAGTAACAAACACCCTGCAAACACACAAAACAGCAAAGCTGAGCAAAAAAAATCTTGCTGCAAAGATTCAGAAGCCACATCTGATCTGTTTGAGCACTCTGAGACTACACACAATAGGGAGCTTTCCAGTACTAATCTGTTGTGACATTTTATAGAAGCTAATTCTTTCAGACAAATAAAGGTCTAGTTTGGAACAATTTTTATTCAGGCCATCAACATCATTCCTGATTTGATGTGATTTTCAAATAGCATATGTTTTTCTGTTTGTGGCCTTCACATCCTGCATAAAAGCAAGATAAAACTAGCAAATTCAGCGTTCACAAAAAAGCTAGGATAGCAGGCAGGTACAATTTAACAGATGTTGAGGCAGGACAAGCACAAGCACATAACAGGGAGAATTTTGAACAAGAACACAGTTACCAATTTCTATATATTTGGTATATGTATGTCTATTCACACATGTGCACACACATTGGGAATTTTAGCATAAAAATGTTTTATCACTTCCTCAGCTGCCTGTATGCTGATCACAGTTACTGGCTGAAAATCTAAAAAAACCCTTAAAAAACGTTTTTTGAGAGGGTTTTTTTTGTGTGGCTTGATGCTTAAGAAGTAGCCTTTTTGTCAGTGTTTCACAGTGTTATTCTGAAGAGCAACTCTTTGCACATGAGGAGGCAGACACTGGTGATTTAGGCAGGCCAACACAGCACAGTACTATTACTCAGCTGATAGTTAATGATTTCCCATTTAATGCAGTTCATTTTTCATAGCCCAGGGTTCAAACAGAAGCAGCTGCTATTAGGGATGTAACAATATTGAACTTCAGACCAAAGGCATAGGAGAGCTTCTTTTATAACTCTAGCTACTGGACCCATCTGGCTCTTCACGTAAGTACTGCAAATGAAGGAGAGAAACACTTTGCTTCCCATCAGTGAGGTCCTGAACAGAATACACAATTATTCAGAACAAAGGCTTTCCAGTAAAAACTAGCTGCATTAACAACACTCTCCCCAACTTTGGTGGATGAAAACAATTTAATCCACTTTATTACCTAAAGAACACTGAAAAAATTGAAGCATATAAAAAAGTGAAATCATACTTTGAATAATTTTTAATACCAACATCCCCAGAGTCTCATCATGAGGAAACTGGGTCAGTGTTTCTAAATCATTTTCTTCTGGAAATGAAAGATTAAATTTTGATTTACCACAAATTTGCAACAAAAAGGGGGAGAGAGAGAAAAAAAAAAAAAAAAAGAGTTTCTAGGCTTGTAGGACACAGTAAAAGCTCATATATGTTCATTTTCTGGTAGGAAACTTTCAATATTGAGGCATGAGGCTTGCTGTTCCCCAATACCCCATCTCTGAGTGCTTTAAGTAAAGTAGTATTCCCCTTCTCCAGCAAACTCTAATGAAATGCAAGTCTTTAGACTTGCTTTACATTTTTGCTGCCATCACTTTGAAGGAGGCAGCCTTCAAGTGCTAGAAATGTTATCAAACTGCTTACTTTTAAGAAAAGATCTTTTAAATAAAAAATCCTGTCCTTGTGCAATAATCTTCTATTTTCATTTTTATTGTGGAGATCTGACAGAAAGTAGATTATGACAGAACTACATTTACTTCCAATTTCTAACAACATCTGTAAATTAGGATTTGCAAGAAAAGAAGTGGATTATGTACTTTCATTACAATTACAGGACTGCAGAACAACAACTGTTGCCTAGTTATGATTATAGCTAATCCTTTCATTGCCCACAGTGGACCAAAACACATCTCATAGTTTTAATGTAGAAGGAGATGTCTTTTGTAATCAACAGCTTTTAAAGCAGGGGTATCCAAGCACAATACAATTTTAAATTACAGAAATCTATGTCAGGACTTACATGCAACTTCCCATCTCTTTGGGTGCCTTCCACATCTAAGAAGACAAAATCACTTCACAATTATTATAGAATTCATTCTCAATATTGACTATAATTTTGATGTTACCATTTTTACTTTTGAAATCTCTTAACACCATATGACAGCAAGCATTGCTGGAATCTATGTCCACATACCAAAATCAGTTCTGGATGGGCTCTCCATTCCTTGCAATACCCAATATTATTACCATTCTAGAACACTGGGGAAAACTGAATCAATTCACCTCCATTTTCCATAAACTCCCAGTTTTCAGTCCTTCCTTTATCCCCAAGAATACTAACTCCAAATTGCATAATTTCACTCAGATATAAAAATTTATAAAAGACATTTATAAGAAACTTGAAAAGAGTTTTGCTAGATCTGAAGTTTATTCTCAACTGTTAGAATATTTTTTGTAGTCTAGGTTAATTCTCAAAGACACAGCTTTACTCCAAGTGTTGCTTTCCCTTAAAAGTTAAACGGGGTAACCACGTGCAACTCCTTGCCTAGCTTCATCAATTTCATATTTCCAAAATCATGTTATGTTAAACTTGGCCTTTTTCCTTGTACTTTGTAAGCATTTCCCTGTCCTGTCTTTCCCTTAGACTTCACTCTTCAGACACACATACAAATGAACTGTTGAGGAACCACTGGGACATTATTTCTTCAATAAATATTAAACTTATTGTCACGCAAGTTTATGAAGTTTCATTCAGCATCCTCCTTGGTATTTCCTCTGGTAGCTTCCAAAACTCAGATACTTCTTTAAATGCTTTTTCTTTGTGTGAATAGCAGTTTCCACTGGATAGCTGTGGTAAAAGAAGTTACTTACATTTGCCAGTGTTTATAAACAAGGATGGCAGAAGAAAGCAGAGCCTCTACTGCTCCCTGCAGTTTCTTGGCATCCCAAGGGTCTTTCACAGACAGTTCTTCCATGCGAGATGGACTAATGAACAGCTTAATTTCTGTTTTATAGCTAGCCTTGTCCAAAACTTCAAAACCTGCTCAGGGGATCCCTAGCCCTAGGAGCACCTCAAGTCTGGAGGCATTTTCAAGTTAGGCAGCAGAAGTCCACACATGCCAGAAGGGTTGTGCTTTTTCTTACACAGGTCTGACAGAGCTGGGAGTCCACACAGGGAATTCTGATCTTTT